TTCTAAAATTTTCTGTTTTATTTGACAAGTTCCCGTCTAAATATAAGCTTTCCCTTCCAACTATATCTATTTGTTCAAGATGGAATGAAAGTCTGGACGGGTTTATGAAATGTTTTAATAAAAAAATTATTCTACTATAATAAATATCGTCTAATTTAGATTGGATTAACTTATTTATGACTGAAAATCCTTATTTAGAATAACAGTCCAATTAAAATATTTCATGAACTCATCCAGACTTTCAATCCATCTCTAGTATGCAGTCCAAATAAGAAGGGATACCTTATTCTTGGAACGAAAGTTTGCAAGTAAAATTAAAAATTTTAAAATTGGAATCACATTTTAAAGATGGAATGAAATTTTAAAATTTAGATTGTAATTTTACTATAGAATGATTATTTAATTCTGGGAAATTTTTCCCTTGAGGTACAGGCAGGACACGACCAGAACGCTCGGTCGACAATTTTTCGCAGTAGGAAGGCAGAAGCAGGGAGAGAAGAGGGGCTGGAGGGAGCGTTACAGTGAACAAGGACCAGGTTAGGTCCCCAGTCCCGATGATAGGGACTGAGAATGCAGAAACACAGTAGAGTAAGGGTAGTTGAAGCCCTTGGAGGTACTCCCCGAGCCCGGGTAGGCTTGGGTGCAGAGGGGCGTCTGTACAGTAGCAGGTAAGGGTCCCGGAGTAGAAATGCTAGATGCAGCGGTGTTCACAATAGTAGTAGTGCACTTTGTCTCGGACTTTTCAGTGTAGTATCCTAGACCCTTTTCTTACATTATCTATCAGTAGTCTCCCTGTAGGATTTTGGTAGCGCTAGAAGAATCCTTTCGTCTGTAGGACTTAGATAAGATAGGTGGTAGTGCCAGGAAAGACGCAGCCTAAGAGTTGTTGGGTCTGTAGGAAAGACCTACAGGCTTTCAACCGATGTCAGATTAGACACAATATTGAATTTACCTGGGCTGGTTAGTCCAATGATAATACCTCAAGGCCATCGCCCTTAAAAAAAAAAAAAAAAAAAAAAAAAACAATGCCTCGTTGCACTTCTCCCCCAATATGGAAAATGAGACTATGAATTCCTGCTATACGGTGGGAAGAACGAAATCTAAAACGGGCCGAAGGGGAGAGGCGTGCGGCCGGCGCAGATCGCTCCGCTGACACGCTACTGGTTCAGGAGAACCGGTCCTCCTGGTCACCACCCCAGCACGCTGTCGGGAGACGTGGCAATCGTCAACTATCCTGCGAAGCCATAGCTTCGTTAAGTCAGGTCATCGACAGGAGGGGACCTGGAGGCGAGTCAACGGGTCAGATCAGACCAACGTACCAATCTCAATGTGCTCTACGAGTTCTTGGACATGGCGGAAGCGCCCTGTCCCGACGAGTTCTAACAAAGGTAAGGACTTCCCCCCGATCTTTTAGGGCAGGAAAGTGTCGAACACCTTGCACGCCCTCACCACTGTAGGAGGCCAACAAAGCCAGTAGCGGTAAGTAGCCTAGCCCTTTTCCAGCGAACTAACTTGATCGTACCCCTCTCCCGAACTCCTCCCCCCCTCGTATCCCTTTGTATACCACGCCACCGTCGAACCACGCTCCCCAAACCCGCCAGCATATCCCGTCCTTTTCCACAATTCTCTTCCCACCCCACCAACGAACACCACCCACATGCTCGTTTCGTTCTCCATACTGACCCACGCCCTACCCCACAAACCTTACCCTCGGGAGTCGATTAAGCTCGAGGGTTCGCCACAGGACTACGCAGCCACCTCACCAGAGTCGTATCAACATGGCCGAGTGGTCAGCCCACCCACCCGGTCAAATCCCATTCCATGCCTCCCCATCCGATCTTTCCCCGCCCCCGGTCACACCAGAAGATATGCCGAAAGTCCGTGCCCTACTTGACAGTTGCTATGACGATGGATTGTTCCTTGAATCATCAATTTCTCGTTGTGATATCGAAATTGTCGACGGTATAGGTTATCTTAACCTTAGTGAAGAAGTGGATGCAGCTACGGTTGCTTGGCTAAAGGACCGGACTGTTATCTGCATTTTTGAGATGCGATCAACCACACTGTTTGTAGCACAAAGGGAACAATTCATTCGAATCTATGAAGATGCTTGGTATCAAGACGTAAATATTAATCCTTCACAGAAACAAGGAAGGACCCATGGGGAAGGACCCAATGTCATGTCCTATGTGGCCCGGTCCGGTCGAATTGCCCGATGGCTAATTACCAAAGGGCACGATTATATCCCCTCACGCGTAGGCTTGGTCAAAGTCTCATTCAAAGCATGGATGACTCAACAAGACTTTGACCAAATTAGAAACAACGAAGCAGCGGCCAAATACCGCATTATTGAGCTAAGGGTCCCCCTTGGTGCCATGTTCTCACTGGAACTTCGAAATGCGATCCAACAACTCATGGGACCAATAATCCACATGCATCCGCCTAAAAAGAATAAGGATGAACCTCGCTTAGACAATGCACGTATTGAATGTGACCCATCGGTTCAAGACACCTTCATGGACTGGGTGGTATTGAGACGCCCTTCGGGCCAACACATCCAAATTCAATTCGCAAATCAAGATACCACCTTCTGTCGCAAATGTCTATGGTGGTTCCATGATGAGTTCGACCCGGCATGCCGAAGATTTAATGAACCCATGCCTCCGGGCAGACGGGGGAGAGGCAGAGGAAGAGGAGGTGGCAGAGGCCTAGGTGGGAGAATTCCCGAAGGCCAGCGCCAACAAAGGGGTACCAGCGCCCCCCCACCACCGCCACCTCGCTCTGGCCTACCCCCCCACCCGGAGCCCATTCGTCCTGCTGCACACCCGAATCCACCGCCACCACAATTTCAAAGCACAACCTTGCGTCATCCCACCCAATACCATCAACTTATTATCAGAGACCCAGTACCACGTCAACCCGCCCCACAGCCACATCATCCTGCACCAGCATCCCCCCCCTCTCCCCTCCCCCCCCTCCCCAATATCACCAACAACACCCCCTCCCCTACTTAGCACAACCACATCCCCTCCCTATGCCTCCTCCTTAGCCACTTCGGCCCCCGAACCCTACGTTCCCTCCACGTCACCCGATCCCGCCTAGGCACATGCCTCTTACCCCCCTCTCCCCTCTATCCTCCCACCCCATGAAAACCGTTCACCGATCCCCCCCTGGTTTCGATTCAGAGGGCAACGAGCCCACCCTTCATCCATTTGATGCCACCTCCTCGCAGGAGTTGGTCCCATACACTGCCCCGACAGTTGGAGGTATTCCCTCCATGGTCCAGACCGAAACATCAAATCTCAACTTCCACCAACAACAGGCTAGCTCATGTACCGACCCGACATAACACGCCTTCACCACTTACTTTAATCCATCACCTCACCACAGTGGACAGTTAACAATTCTCCCCACACAGCCCCACCCCTCACGAGACACTCGTCTCGCAGTTTCAGAAAGATCAAGAATGGCAGACGACTTGGGAGATGCGGTCATGAGAGACCCACGGCCTGTCCTCCGATCCCCCTTCAAGCAGAGAAAGATCAATGAAGAAGGCGATGGGGAGATAACGAAGGAAGAAGTTGAAGTGCAAGTGGAGTTCTTCCCAGTCGGGGGCAGCTCACGCCAGGACAGAAGGGTAATGGAAGTCGTCAATCCAATTCCAACCAGCAGTCCCTGGTTCAATCTTCTAGCATCAGATCCTTGGTCACGATGCGCCACCAGACAGTGCTGCTTCTCTTTACATTGTCGCCACAGAGAACCAAGTTTCTAGCGAAGCGTACTGAGCAGGGGGTACTCGCCATACCAACAGTGGCGGTGGAAGCGTCACCAACAACGAAAGACTCTCTCAGACTCATGGCTGACTCGTTTCTTGCAGATCGATTTCCATGCAGGCTCATTCCGGGAATCCGGATCGGCAGAAAGTCAGTTGCAGCTGCCTTTGGGGGCAGCTGACACTTCCACATTGGTATGATTGATGTGAAGATCTCCCCGGACACAGCAGCCCTTCTAGGCTTTTAGAATGTCGTGTGGCTGTCGTTTTCCTAGTTAGCCTCACCGGACTCAACGGAACTGAAAGACGTCCTCCTCACTGAGGATGTCACAGCCAAGTGTGTGGCCGAGTTCTGCACGATATTGGCAACAAATAAGCAGCCACATGCAGCGGGGTTCCGAAACCTTCTTCTGGCCCCATGGGGGACAGCAGCGGGCGCAAACCCTACCAGGAGGCCGAGGACTACAAGAGAACATTCGGAAGAAGCCTAGCGGATCCAACACGCAGCCGCCCGGAATGGTACAGATGGTCAGAATTAATGTGGCCAGATGGAACGTTAGAGGGATGGGGGACACCTCGGGCAAACACAAGAAAGCGAGGATCGAGACGTGGATCCATGACAACAATGTGCAGATAACAATGATGCAAGAGACCAAATTGGGAGAGGGAAAGATCCTGGAGATTGCCAACTGGTGGCGGGGACCACAAGTCTGGGCTCCGGCCAACGGCACTAGAGGAAGCACGACCATATTACTTCATCATAATCTGGAGTTTGAACTTTTGGAACAACAGGTGGACATCTGGGGTCAGTGGGCCTTGATCCAGATTAGATTGGGAGGCAAAATTTGGGTCTTCATGACTGTATACGCCCCCTCCGAGCCGGCGGAACGGAGCTCTTTCTTTGAGGAACTCCCCCACATTGTACCTGCAGCAGATGACTTGGTCCTAGCAGGGGACTTCAACTCAATCCTCATCTCGGGATTGGATTCTCAGCAAGCTAGACCCAGAAAAACAAATGCACGGATGCTGGCAGAGTTTATGGACCAACAACGGTTGATTGATACCTTCAGGCACACGCATCCCATGGAGTCGGAGCATACCTGGTTCTCTGCTCAGACCATAGAGGGAGGCAGACTGCCGCAATGCAGACTGGATCTGTTGTTGACGAAAGGAGAAACTTGGGAAGCACTTACCTCAGTTGAAGTCGTCGTGGAGCCCCTCTAAGACCATCGGCCCATCCTGCCCAGGTTTGAGATGAACATGCAGCTCAAAAGAGGGCCAGACACCTTCAGACTCAATAGAGACCATCTGGACTGGCGGGAATCCTTGAGTGGGTTGCAGGTCATTGGAGAGACTGGCAACGAACAAAAGACTGGTTTGACACAAAGTAGGAATGGCTACAAATTGGTTTGCAGATCGTCACTTGGACATTGGACGTGTTCTTTTGGGTTCAAGCGAAAGGGCGATGGCAACTGTAACAAGAATGCAGAAGAATGGTGGAGGAAGCAGAAGTGGAACTGGAGTCGGACCCTATTACTGGCGTCTACTGGAGGCAGAGGAGGGAAAAGTGGCTCTACAAATGGGAGGAGCTGCAGATCGAACAACAGGTACAGTGGGCAAGAAAAGCGCAAGAGCGAGGCATGGCAACAACGGATCGAATGACAAAAAAAATGTTTCAACGGATTTGCCCTGCCCGCTCCCATGTGCTCATGCGCGAGCTGCAACACCCCTTCTTCCCGGAGGCAGACACGACAATTGACTCATAAACTATAGGAGAGCATGCCCTTGAATATTACCAATACATACTCACCTCACGACGCCTGTCTGACAAAACTCTCCAACAACTTCGGACTGAAGAGGACCTCTAGCTAACAACACACTCACGCTTACCGCTACAGGCTCGATTGCAGTTGGATAGGCCGATCACACTGGAGGAACTGTGGGAAGCAGTCAAGAGTATGACGAAGGGTAAGAGCCCCGACACCGATGGGCTACCCATCGAATTCTACGCAGCAGTGTGGGAACATGTGGGGGCCCTCTACTCCTAAGTTTGTACAACCGCACCTTGGAAGGAGGCTCTCTCACCGAAGACATGAAGTGTGGCATTATCACGCTTATCTACAAGAAAGGAGACAAGTGCAACATCCGCAACTAGCGTCCGATATCGAGACTGAATGTCTCTTACAAGCTTCTGGCCAAACTTCTGGCCAGAAGGTTGGCCCCCTATCTGCCATCACTAGTTCACACCGACGAAGGGGGGTTCGTACAAGGCCGCTCAATTGCAGAGAACATCATGATGGCAATGGGGGCTCTAGAAATCATTCAGTCTGAGAACAGACAAGTGCTCGTTGCGATGTTGGACTTGGAAAAGGCGTATGACCGAGTTAACCGGTCCTTCGTCTTGGCCACTCTTGAACTCATAAACTTCGGGCTGAGTTTCCGAACTTGGGTGAGAGAGTTGTATTCGGACTCTAAAGCCACTGTTATGGTCAACGACTTCCTGTCTCCTGCTTTCTCACTTACCCGCTCAGTTCGCCAAGGTTGCCTGCGCTCCATTACTTTTTGTCATACAGATGGATGTGCTTCTAAATGCTTTGAGGGCGGCGCCACATATCCATGGACTTGATTTGGGACAAGGAGACCGATTTCTTACTAGAGCAATTGCAGACGATCTGCTCCTTGTGATGGAAGCAACTCCGGGTCGCATGCGGGAGGCGAAGGACCTTCTGGATGCCTACGCCTTACTCTCCGAAGCAAGAGTCAATTGGAACAAGTCGTTGTACTTCCTACCTGTCGATGATAGCCTTGAGGCAGAAGACTAGGGAATGAAGAGGATACTGGCTAACCTCTCAGAACGCTACCTGGGAGTCCAGGCGTCGCTCTCATATGCCAAGACTCGATCTTGCGGGCAAAAACCCAGTCAGCAATTTTGCGATGCCGAATGGCAGTTGGTACCTCACTGCTGGGGAGAGCAATGCTCATTACTTCAGTAGTCTTTGCCCAACTCTGGTTCGTGACAGCGGTGTTTCTGATCTCCAAACCCACCCTACGATTCTTCTGGCTACGTGTCTTCCGTATCTTTGCTGAGATTTCATATGGAATGTTTCGGTATGCCATAGCGAAATGCAAACGTGACGACTCCAGTCGACGCAATAGGCATAATAGGAAAAACTATCCTATTTTTTTGATGTTCTAACTCTTTATTGATTAGAGCTTGCGACTTCTGTTACTATGATCCAGATCTAACCTGTGGCTCATGCAATAACCTTGGTAGAAATTAAACTACTGACGAGTGGTTGCATACTGTACGCCCCCACCTGTCCCTACTACCGTTTCTCACTACCTGTTCACTTCCTGTTTTTTACCTGTCTCCCTTCTTTCTTCCCTCCCTCTATCAACTTACCAATCTTCGTCCTCTTTGCTTCCTGCCTGGGACCTTTTCTAGCTATCCCTCCTGGGTATCTCTGTGACATGGTTGATAGGGTTAACTAAGATATTCGTGTTTTGTTGTACCAGTAACGTCGTCCCTGCTCTCATATCTCACTCATATTCCCCCTCGACTCCATGTGCAAGATAAAGGGCTTGTTTTCTTTGATCTTCTCCTAGTCTGATTGCAGGTCTGAACCACCTTTTAATACAACGAAGTCAAGATGTCAGCCCCAAGACTCTGCTACAACTGCAATATGCCTGGGCACTTCGCAAGGGAATGCCCCTACCGCCAACCAGGTTATGCTCCGCATCACCCGCCGCGTGCTTCCAGACTTCCACCTCTTCCGCCTGCTAACGGAGACAACCCGCCACTTCTACCACATGCCAACACCCATCTACCTCTTACCCCCCTTCTTGCTCTGCCCCCACCGCCCATTGCTCCAGCAAGCACCCCCACCGCTGGCCAAGCGCTAGTACCCCGGCAGTCTTGGTGGAAACTCAATCAGGACAAGCTGGACCGTGTATACGACTTTATGGCCATGCAGTTGGAGGCTTGACAGAAGGCATTACGCGAGAAGGAAAGACAACTTAAGGACGAGGAGGACAAAAGAAAGATCAAAGAGGCCGAAGACAAGACAATTAAGAAGGCTAAGGCGAGGCAGGAATTCGAAGAACGGATCAGCAATATCGTCGGGTCCAAGATCAACGACGCCTGTGAGCTCTTCCTCGGACATGCGGACCAGGCTAAAGCAGCCATGGCGGGTGCAGATGGTCGACGTCGGATGGATTTAGAGAATCCAGGAATCCGACAGATCGGCATCGAGAAGGAACGAATGGACAAATAGATCGAGTTGCTGCGGCAGGAATACGAGTGCATCAAGAAGAAGATGGACGAAATATCGAGGACCTTTAAGCACAGTGTGACGGGAGCAAAAAGATCCGCGGCCGGAGTCTGCGTCAGCAGCCACCAGAGGCTCCGGGAAGAGGGAAGGCGAAGGTGATCGGCGTAGGCACACCTACCTCCCAAGACTTCGAGAAGCTGCTCAAAGCATATAACATCGTGAAGGAAGGAAAGCGGATTGCCGATTTGGAAGTCCTAGCTCTCAGGGACAGATTTGAAAAGGCAGTAGCCAAGCTCGTGAGGCAGGGTCGTACACCACGTGTAAATCTCACGAGAAGAATGTATGAGGCCACGGACGATGAAGAACAAGAAATTCATCCAAGGCGCGAGGAAGGGCTTGACGATTTGACCATCAGGCCATCACCGCCAAAGAGGACGTCTGAGCGGCTGGCGACGAAGGCTGCAGCAGCGGAGAGAGCGGAGTTCCTCAAGGAGACGAAGAAGTACTTGAAGAGGCTGCGGAAGCATGGGCTCCAGGTCCTGTGTAGTAAGGAAGGGATCACGTTCGTGACCTGTGAGCAAGCCTTCAACGACGTTGCGGAACTTCGGACTGCGACAACTTTCGATGAGCGAGAATCCGGACGGAAGGTGGTACCAGACTCCGAGGCTGAGGACGGGAGAGAGGAAGAACGTGATGGGACGGACGGACAAGAGACGCAACCAGTCAACATTGACGATGAGGATCGTCTAGCAGATGATTAGAGGTGCGGCCCAAGTGTGCGAGCAGTATGGAGACTGATGCAACTATGTCTCTCACTCCGACAGGGGAAGATAGGACTACTGAAATTCCGATCTCAACTATTTTTTTCGCATGATCGTCGTGTTTCTCATTCTCCACCAGCAGTTACCTTGGGGAATCAAGTTTGTTGGCTCCCTCCTTCATCTGCTGAATGATGGTTACGATTTTCACTCGTCTAATGGCCCTGTTGTCTACTGTCTAATCTCTCCCCTAGTCAAACACTGCTATATAGGCTGCACTAGCAGAACGCTGAATATTAGATGGGCTGAACACTTCAATCATTGTTCGAAGGTAGAATCCTCATCCGGATGTGCACGTAACCACAAACTGTATCGTTGGTTGAGAATAACGGGTATGTATCACTATGTTGCTATCCCTATTTCAGTCGTTGGGACTCTTGATTTGATGGCTGCAGAAAAAAAGTTCATAGGATGGGCCTCCCCGTATCTGAATTCTAGACCAGCTTCATAGAAAAAAAGAAAGAACAAAAAAGGCAGACCGGGAAAAAGGGAAAGAAGAAGTAGAGTTAGAAGAAATAAATCATGTAAGGATGCGGCTCTAACCAACTCGCTGGCTTGTGAACCTGGTATCAATAGAAGACTGTCCTACTTCGTCTCCTCGTTTGGCGCCCCCTCCGTCTCTTTGCTGCACATTCTTAATGAGGCTCTCAGCGCTAAGGTGACTACTTTTTTGGTTCTAACTAAGGGAGGGCGTATGTTACCAGACTCATGGAAGGTGATAAAGAGGGTTTTCGGGGCCTCGATAGTTGCACGTAGCTACGGGCGGGATCAACTGAAGAGATGCAGAAGTTGGTTTGAAACAGGGTGCACGGTGAAAATAGTTTCTCTGATTAAATTTTGTTCCCGATCCAAAAGTATAAAACCCACGATTGCGCGCTTATTAAGCCATCCTTACGAACAAAAGGAGCTCTGCAAATAGTCTCTCGATAACCTGGTATATGCGTATGATGCGGTTAGATGTTTTTCACAAAAAACCTCCAGATATACCCTACGAACGATCTTATTCGCGAGCATCCGTAGAAGGTTTGTTTTTTGCCCACGTAAGCGCCTTGTAATTAAAATCAAGTTCTCAGATAGGATCGTGAAATCAGCTGTCCGCGCACTATGTGTTCGTCTGATACGAGAAACCGAACTACCAGACTCGCTGGCGGGTATGCTTTCTCTGAGAATCCAGGTAGTGTGGACCAAGAATCGTAGCCTGGCACAATTACTGCATAACTTCAGGTTGTATTATCGCCTGCCACTGGCAGAATGTACGTGTAACGATTTTTTTATGAACGCCATGAAATTATATGGACAGGATCGAAGCTCCTTTCCTTCCGCCTCTCCTGGTGCCTCCTTCTCTTTCTCTTCCTCTATCTCTCCTCCCCCTCCCCCTCCCCCTCCCCCTTCCCCTCCAATTTTTTCCTCTTCCTCTTCTTCTTCTTCTTCTTCTTCTTCTTCTTCTTCTTCTTCTTCTTCTTCTTCTTCTTCTTCTTCTTCTTCCTTTTGCTCGTCTACTGCCTCCTCTTTTCCTGTCCCCCTCCCCTTCTCCCTTCCTCTGTCATCTCCACATCCCCCCTCCTGCCCTCCCTCGGCTATCCAGGACTTTTCCCAATCTCTTAAGAATGATGATGGGCATATTGCTATCCGCTTGAAGGATTCTGAGTTTTTTCCTGTTTGGGCCCGTAACTCTAGAAACATCCCCCCTCCCTCCCGGCAATATGGACTGCATCAGCTACGATCTCAGATCCTATGTACCCTCAAACAACTACCGTCTCTGGGGAAACCACACACCTTGCACATCCCGTCTTCGCTACTGAAACCTTGCTACAAAGAACCACCACCCTCTGAACCCCTGTCTATTTTTCTTGCCAAATCGTCTTTCGATTGTCTGTCTGATTTGTGTGCACTTCCTTTTACCACTGAAAGTGTTACTAAACTTGGATGCTTGACCAAAGGCCTGGTATTAGCACCAATTGACCATAACCCCGAAGATACATTTCTGTGTTGCCCATTAGTGTACAGGAAGAGTATGAACTCTCTCTTCGCTAAAAACACGGGTCTCAGATTAATCTCGGAAACCGAAGAACAAATCCTCCTTGATTGTCGCACAAAGTACCGAATACAAAGCTTTGATGTTATTGCACCTTGGAACTCTAAAGGGAGAATTGGGAAGGGATATGCCATCCCGAAACATAAGGACATAAACAGATGGAGGCCTATCTACCCTACGTCTTCAGAACCCTCATTAAGGGCCTGCAAACGTATCACCTCTTGTCTTAATACCCTCATAAAGTTCGTTCTTTGTTCTTTGCACTTTAACCTCTTCAGTACCAAGGATCTGATAGATTCTCTGTGTCACATCAACCGGGCAACGCTCCCATCGGAAAGTCTTCTAACAACAATCTATGACGTTAAGGAAATGTTCACCATCCTCCCACATGCCGCAATTCTGGACTCCGTTCGCTGGTTCACTTCATATCTGCTTTTACAGGGCTTTGAGGGAGTTTGGGTGAAGAACAGAGGGAAAGGAGCTAAGCTCTCAGCAGCCAAATCCTTGATTGGCTGAAAATTTCTTAATTTTTCAATCATTGAAGACTTCGTCGCATTTGACCTCGGCAACACGTATGTTTTCGCAACTGGGTCTCTGCTAAAGCAGGAGGTCGGCGTGCCAATGGGCAAAGCATCTAGCCCTGCCCTCGCTGCAATGCTGTGCATTTTTAACAAAGTTAATTGTTTATCCTCTCTAGGCAAGGACCGTGCTCTGATCCATGGGGTAAGGCTGGTTGATGACGTATCTGTCTTTATCAGGTTCACAACTTAGTCTGATCGATCAAGGGAACTTGCTGAGTCAATTCTCAGATCCTTTCAGACATGCTATGACAGTAATCTATCTCTGGAAAAAATGAGCCTGTCAAATACGTGGAATTTTCTGGGATGTAAGTTTTTCCTCCTCCGCTTGGTATCTGTTGTTCCTCAGTTCACCGCAATCAGGACTCCTTGGCAACATCTGGCCAGATCTTGTTCCACGCCATCCAGGATTTTGTGTCATACTCCAGCAAACAGCAAAAGCTTGCAGTTATTAGTTTTTTTTTCCATCGTGCCAAGTTTTTCACAACCTTACCTGCATCCGAGCTCAATTTCTTGATAACCATGAAAATGGAACTTAGGCAAAGAGGGTACCCTGATATTTACTTTGATAATGGGCTGACGATGTTTTCAACAAAGTTTAGGGGTTGCTGGAAGGATTGGGTTGATTACTTGACGAAATGGGAAAAACTATTCTAGCCAATAGGCGGGAAACGGTTTTGCTCGGTTTTGCTCGGTGCCCCTCGGACTCATGGTCCTCCCTTGAACCCAAGCTGAAGGGCTGAAGGATGAAGTATAGAAGGCTAACAATATTAAAAATTTGAAGTAGCATCGGGGAACTAAAGGCCCGACGTTTTTGCAATATTATTTCCGGGATAGGCTATTTCCCTATGACTCAGCAACGCCGCTCACACCCCGACATTTCGGGCGGGACTTTTCGAGCCTCAATGATGGTCTATTTCTACAGCATACGGTTCATTGTCCCTCCTCTCTTCGATGGTCGATAGAGGTGTCGGCCGCTACTTCGCACGCCTGATCTTCCCGCTCCCACTTCAAGGTGACTCTTCAATGGCAAGCTTCACGGCATGTTACATCGGACGGCGCGACGAATGAAATCGTCCACCTCAGTATCACGCTCGGGTTTCCTCTCCGCTCTTGGGTTTCTCCCTATCTCGCTCCCTCGCTTTTTTCTCTCTCTCTCTCTCTCTCTCTCTCTCTCTCTCTCTCTCTCTCTCTCTCTCTCTCTCTCTCTCTCTCTCTCTCTCATACTCTAACCGCTCCCTCCTTGCACCTTCCACGGCCTAGCTACTGGAAGCCTCAACTTCGAGAGATTTGCTCGACTGGATCATCGTTTATGAGGAAGGACATAACGAGCGACCGGTTGTTTCGTAGTTACACCGCGGACAACAGATAAGTCCCCGCTCCCTTCACTTCTCCCTTCTTATATCTGCACTCTCTATCTCTCTTGTCTCTTCTCTTCTCTCTCTCTCTCTCTCTCTCTCTCTCTCTCTCTCTCTCTCTCTCTCTCTCTCTCTCTCTCTCTCTCTCTCT